AGTGTTGTGATGGCTACCACAGGCACCATGTCAGGTTTTACAGGTGTCACTGGCAATGGGGGATACAGATCAGGCTCACAGTCAGGATCAGTCAGTTCTGGATCGAATGGATTATCTGGGGTTTTTTTCGGCAATGTGTTCATATATATTCTATTCTTCCTCCATATCTTTCTGTATGTTCCATTCTTCCTCCTTCTCTTTCTGTAGTTTCCTTTATTCTGAAGCCAAGCAAGCAAGCAAGCGAAAAGAGCGAGAGAGAGCAGAAGCAGCCCTTTTTTGTAGTAAAGAGCATATATTGGTATCCACAGATATGGGTCTGAGCTGTGAGGCCGAGCAGGATGATTCTCTCTCACACTCCGTAATCAGAGAGTTACTTTTCTCACACAATCATCCCTTGTGACTGTCTTCAGTCACAGACAATCATCCAGCTACCTCAGGCAGTTTTCCAGCCTGACCCTTTCATGCACTCGTGCATATGATAACTGTTATCACATGTGACCTGCTCAGGTCTCTGCGTTCCCGTGCTTATTCTTGAAATCAGCTCGAATAAACTTATGACCACACCAACAACACTGAGTGGTAACAAAAGTATGACAACACCGACAGAAAGGACACACAAACACGCTACCTCTATCACAGGGAGTCAAAACTCCAAAGGCTGAGGGCTCCTTGCCCCCCATACACGGGACAGCCTATTCTTGGCCCAGCTGCGCATTCCACTGACCAAGCCCTGTCCACTTGCTAGGGACAGCTTATTCTTGGTGCAGCTTTGCACTCCACTGACCATTAGCTGGGTCATCACGGAGAAGGGAGGTAGGCGCCGGCAGGTTTCACGAGCGAGCAGGGTTGACGTTTGCATGGGCATTGCCAGCAGCAACAGCGGGAGATTTAAACAGCCTTTAGGGAGTGTGGCGAACAGAGCGGGCAAACAGGGCGTGGCACGGCAGTTTGTGCAGCAGTTGGTGCAGGGAGGGCCCTACAACCCGCCAGTAGACCACAGCCTGAGGGGAGAGCTCTAGGTCTCTGCCACAATGGTGAGCACTTGCCTCAGAGCTAGAACCAGAGCTCCTGTAGTGGGTGCCGCTGTGATGTCTGATGCCTCTACCCAGACCAAGCTGGTAACAAAGGAGACGTCAGTGCAGGCTGCAGCTTGCAGCAAATGCCCAGACCCTTCTTCTAGAGCCCTGGTAAGTGCCTGCACTAGATGTAGGCAGGCTACGCAGTATCAGAGGAGCTGAGTTGAAGATAGATAGGTGGTTGCAGAGCCATGCTCCTGTGGAGACCACCAGTGAGAAAGAGGCACCTTGGATCCTGGTGACCCGCAAAAGCAGGACTCTGCTCCAGCCTTCCTCCAGCATAACTACCAAAAACAATTATGAGGCTTTAATAACCATAGATACCCAGAAGCAGGGTCTGCAAGAGGAAACTACACCAGCAGCACAGAGCGGGTACCGTAAAAAGAAATGGCGGATACTCGTGGTGGGTGACTCCCTGTTAAGGGGCACCAAGGCGCCCATCTGCTGACCTGATAGGGAGGCACTCGAGGTGTGCTGCATTCTGGGAGCTAAAGTCCGAGATGTGACCAAGAGGGTGCCACAACTTGTGAAGAGCACAGACTACTGTCCGCTGTTACTCTTTCACGTAGGCACAAATGACACTGCAAGTCATTTGTGGAATGTTGGCAGGATTAAGGAATATTTCAAAGCCCTGGGGATGAAAGCTAAAAGCTTTGGTACTCAAGTTATCATCTCCTCCATTTTGCCAGTTGGAGGAAGGGGATCAGCTAGAAACAGGCACATTATGGGTATCAACTCTTGGCTTCATGGTTGGTGCTGCCGTGAGGATTTTGCTTTTTATGACAATGGGACTTTCTTCAATGACTATAACCTGTTACAGAAGGACAGGCCCCGCCTGTCTAGAAGAGGCAAGGGGATCTTTGGCAACAGGCTAGCCAACCTGGTGTGGAGGGCTTTAAACTGAAGGACTTGGAGGGGTGGGGAGCAAAGTCACAATGCTCAAGCCATCCCATCTGGATGGGGATTAAGAGTGGCTAAACCGAGCAGGG